TTTAAAATTTCAGTAGAACCAGATTATTGCAGTGCAGCAGAAACACAAGCACTACGGCCAGCCATGACCATGCTGTTATTAGAGTTCTGATAATGAACAGTGCAGAGAAAGGAAAAAAAAAACGCACAAGAAAATTTACAGTTCAGCTTTCATTTTTAAAAACAGAAGAGTTAATAAAGTTCGTGCTTTACGTCACTCATGCATTACTGCCGCAAATTCTGTACCATGAGGAAACAGGAATGGCAGGGTATCGTTTGCTATTGTTTTACATGCATACACGCACTCACACTTGTGCGCACACGCACAGACACACACGGCTCCTCTTTCCCAGGCCTCTAGGATACACTCCAAAAAGTTTAATAACTCAAAAAAACCTTTCCGTGATTGTAGTTTTGTATGCGTCACTAGCCTTAAATTCCATTCTTACGGTCACATCTATATATTTTACTACTGATCTATTGGATTTAAATTTTTAATCAATTTTAAGTGGGTTTTTTTTGGAGGAAATCCATTTGGTTTGATATCATGCCCATGCATTTCTAACCATTCGTGTACATGCTCACTCAGATTGGTAAGAACAAATGACCAACATACATAAACATCTGGTATACCCCATACACACTCCAGCAACACAAGCTTGGAAAGAAACCCAGGAGTCTTCCGAGGGAAAGAACCCTTTGAGAGGGACGTATTGAGAAGTTCAGATTCATTTTTAAGGCAGAAAAGACTGTCATTGCTGCTTTGCTTAGCACATCTTGTCATTTAAGTTTTCTCTGTGACAAACCTGACACCTCTTTCATCTGTAGATTAATGTATTGCAAACCAAGTGCTTCTTGGTGTAAAAGTTGCATTAGTACAAGTTTTGGGTATTATCTGAACTAGGTATCCTGCAAGTGGATATACGATTCTTTTCTTATATAGATCCCGAATGTCTGAGGTATGGCATCCCCATAATGTTTTTTAGTTTCTTATTTCTGCTTCAACACCAAGAGGAATTAAAATGCTAAGTGCCTCCAACTCTTGCATCCGGCTGGAAAGTACTGATCAAGTATCAGGGGAATCAAGTTATCTAAAATCATGTGCTGAGGGGGTTTAACACAGTTCCCTACTGTTAGGATTGCATCACCCCACATCGATAAATAGAAAAATAAAAAAGAAGAATAAAATAAAAAAGTTGGTTTACTCCAACACCAAGTCATATTGTATTCCCCGAACATCCTGCACAATTTCAGATGTTTCCAATATCACCAATGGTTTCTAAGGAAATGCAATCTCAAGCTCATGACTTGGCAGATGTAGTAAAATCAAGGGGGACAAAAGTCTTTCAAATATTTTATGATAGCAGTTTTCAGATACCTAAAAGATCCCCTTTATTCGGCTTTGGTGAGGCCACATCTGTAGTATTGTGTCCAGTTCTGGGCCCCCCACCACAAAAAGGATGTGGATGCATTGGAGAGGGTCCAGCGGAGGGCAACCAAAATGATTAGGAGGCTGGAGCATATGACCTACGAGGAGAGGCTGAGGGACTTGGGTCTGTTTAGTCTGCAGAAGCGAAGAGTGAGGGGGGATTTGAGAGCAGCCTTCAACTTCCTGGAGGGAGGTTCCAAAGAGGATGGAGAGAGACTGTTCTCAGTAGTGACGGATGGCAGAACAAGGAGCAATGGTCTCAAGTTGTGGTGGGAGAGGTCCAGGTTGGATATTAGGAAAAACTATTTCACTAGGAGGGTGGTGAAGCACTGGGATGGGTTCCCTAGGGAAGTAGTGGAGTCTCCATCCCTAGAGGTGTTTAAGTCTCAGCTTGACAAAGCCCTGGCAGGGTTGATTTAGTTGGAATTGGTCCTGCCTAGAGCAGGGGGGCTGGACTTGATGACCTTCTGAGGTCTCTTCCAGTTCTATGGTTCTATGATTCTATGAAAAGAGTGTCATAAGGAAGAGGGAGAAAAATTGTTCTTCCTGGCCTCTGTGGATAGAACAAGAAGCAATGGGCTTAAACTGCAGCAAGGGAGGTTTAGGTTGGACATTAGGAAAAATTTCCTAACTGTCAGGGTGGTCAAACACTGGAATAAATTGCCCACGGAGGTTGTGGAATCCCCATCTCTGGAGATATTTAAGAGTAGGTTAGATAAATGTGTATCAGGGATGGTCTAGACAGTATTGGGCCCTGCCATGAGGGCAGGTGGCTGGGCTCGATGACCTCTCGAGGTCCCTTCCAGTCCTACTACTCTATGATTCTATGATTTTGCTTTGAACTGCAGGTGTAGCAGGACCTGTTTGGTGATCTCACCAGCTGTTGAATGTGCTATAATCAGCGGCCTTGCTCTTGTCCTAGCAGTGGACAGGGCACTTGCTAAAACTCATGCAGCCTCCCTGTATCCCTCCAGGGACTTCTAATTATTCAAGGAGAAGGATGCACTCGCCTTGTAAAGTCGTCTTTTCCAGAGGATATGAACTGCAGGTGTAGCAGGACCTGTTTGGTGATCTCACCAGCTGTTGAATGTGCTATAATCAGCGGCCTTGCTCTTGTCCTAGCAGTGGACAGGGCACTTGCTAAAACTCATGCAGCCTCCCTGTATCCCTCCAGGGACTTCTAATTATTCAAGGAGAAGGATGCACTCGCCTTGTAAAGTCGTCTTTTCCAGAGGATAAAG